TATCGTGAACCTCACCCATTCTGACCCTGAGGCCCCACCTGGGGAGCTGGATTTGGCGGCCGAGAGAGGCGCGACCGGGTTCAGCGTAGAAACCTGCGGACTCGGAGGTCGTGTAGTGGGGCGAAGATGCTTATTGCCCCTGATGTGTTTCGTGGAGCGACACTTGCGGAAGTGCCCCTATCACAGGCAGCAGCGTGGCACACATTTAAAAAAGAAGGGTAGTGAAGACACAGCCAGAGGACTGAGGGGAGATCCCTCAAAAGATATGGAAAGCTCTTGGCGCACCACCCCACAATAGGGTACAAGCTGTCAATCGGTCACCCAGCATCACCTGTACCATGGCAGGGATTTGTTAAACAGGATACTGTAGCCCACATCATAGAGAAGGAGATGGGGATTTCCCGAAATGTGCGATACTTTTCGGAGGCCCTTATAACAAGGTTATAGTTGTTTGGGTCTACGTTGAGGTCGCCTTATTCAGGGGAATTATTCCATGTATTCAACTTTCAGGAAGATTCTGTCAACCCTCAAGCCCTTTACCCTAAACCCCATCTCTGTTAAGGTTTAGGTTTTGGGGGTTTGGGTGTTTAGGGTTTAAGGTTTAGGGGGTCGGGGCTTCAGGGTTTAAGGTTCAGGGTGGGTTTAGGGCCTAGGGCTTAAGGATATCCACCTCCTGAGACTTCAGACCCCAGGTACCGGGGACTCCTGCTCTTGGACAGTCTCACCCTAAACGCTGCACCCTATACCCCAAACCCCCTAAACCCTAAGCCCTAAAACCTTAAACCCTAAGTAGTAGTTTCTATTTTCTTTTCCATTGTCCCTATATAACCCCTGTATGAACCTCATATTATTTGTTGTGGATTGCATTCGACCTGGCCAGGCCCCTCCGTGTCGTCATTGCAGGAGGAGGCCTTCGCTGGTGGGTTTGTTAGGGATATAGGTGGAACCCCCACCCAGTAAAAAAATGACTATAAGGGATACTGAGGATTTTAGGGTCCTCCTGTATTCCTATTACAGCACTATTGCAGGGGGGGGGGTCCTCCTAAAAGATAGGGTTTGATTTACGGCTTCAGGCTTGAGAGCCTTTGGCTTGGGGGCGCGGAGTTTTAGGTTTGGGCCTTGTAGGGCTTAGGGTTTCAGGGTGTAAAGTGTAGGGCTGAGGGCTTGCGGCTTAGGGTTTCACGGCGGCGCGCGAGCCCAGATGCCAAAGAGGGCTTAGGGCCGGTTTGGGGCTCAGGGCTACGGATTGAGGGCTCCAGGTTCGGCGTGAAAGGTTGGGGCTTAAGGGACCTTAAACCTAAACCCTAAATGAGCGGAGATCAAAACCCTTCTTATTCAAAAAAGCAAGGGGCTTCCAGAAACAAGGTTTGGCGTAAGCAAAGTGCCGGGTTTCGTAAGGGGTCGTAAGCAATTTTCCTAGGGTGTCCCAATTAAAGCCCAAGCTCTGACATGCTGTGTGCATGGGCTTTTACGTGGTGATTCAAAACATTTAGCTTTTCCCTTATGGGGGTTAGCCGGCGTAAGCGGCGTAAGCAAAAACAACAACAAAGACATGTCGTAAGCAAAAGCTTGGAAAACGTAAGCTACCGTAAGCATTTTTGCTTCCGAAATAAAATAGGATTAGGGTTTTGGGCACTGCTCAAATGTCAAATCCTAAATCCTAAACGGTAACGAGGCCCTGGTGGACTGGCCTTAGCTTGTGGCCTGGCAAAGATCCGAGGCCCGCGGCTGCCTTTCTGCTTGCAGGGGCAGGGTTTAGGGTACACCTGCAACCCCATATACCTACAGTTTCAAAGTAATTCTTCCTGAAGTAGTTGGTATAAGCCATTAAAAGGTAGGCAATGAGGATCTCAAGTATGGTTTAGTTTACAAATTCTAGAGGGCGGTATAGGGTTCAGGTCCGGAGTTTTGAGCATTTGTTCGGTGTAAGTTTCCGTTTTTAACTTTCGCCTTTTACCATTCATATTTACCCTCAAGCCTAGAGCCCGTCTGCTTGAGGGTCTTGGGCTTTGAGGGGGGAGTGGAAGAGCCCACGATACTGCACAGGGCAGGTTTGGGGAATGCTGTTTGATGTTTTTCACCAGTAGCCCTTCATATACTCGATATAATCCCTATGAAGCCGTAAAAGTCGATTTTCTATGAGGGCCTCGCCTAGTGTAGGGTATATATCATAGATGGATAAGAGGACTAGGGCTCCCCTAGAGATTCTCTAGGGCTTTTCGAACACTAGCCTCTAAGCCTCATTGCACATGCTTAGGTCTCAAGGCCCTTCCTAGACCCTCCAATGTAGTACCTTTTTCGTAGTCCTAATTAGAATCCTAACCCACAAACCATAACGAACCCAAAAAGAAACTACTTTGGAGGGTCCAGGTAAACCCTAAACCCTCAGGTCTAGATGTTCGGATATTGGAGGGCCGTCCCTTGGAGCGACCAGGCGAGGCAACAGCTGGAATTCAAAGAAGCTTTAGTGGTTTAGGGTTTAGGGTTCAGGGATCCCAGTAGCCCAATGTAGGTAAGATTGACAGAATTTGGGCCCAATGTAGGTATTGTAGGTATTATTTGTACACTTGGATCCCTAGGGAACGTTTAAGGGTCAGGGGTTTAGGGGTCAGAGTTCAAGGTAGACTTTGGGATTTAGAGGTGTCCACGGCTTGAATTTCTCTCTGGGGTTTGTTTGGGATTTAGGGATAAGACCGGCGCTCAGGAGTCGAAGTTTCGGGGCAAGGGATGGGGCTAGGGTTTGTGGCTTATGAGGGTTTAGGGGTTAGGGGTCGCAGTCCTCCCTATGGCGTAGGGTTTGGGTTTGCCGGTAGGCCCCTCGGACTTTGCCGCAAATGAGGTTGCATTTAGGATCCACATGTGCCTTGTGAAGAGCTTTTTGGTGGACCGTTAGCATGCTGTGCAGTATCCAGCAACCCACTAGATTCGAATCACAACAAGATTAAGTAGGAAGGTGGATCATTCAATACCTGGCCTCCGGGAACGGCCCCGAAATACTGTAGAAGCCTAAAGAATTAAATCCCGTATGGCTTTTGCAACCATAGTGACTGTAGTATGGAGTAGATTTCTTTGATAGTTTTTTCCCTGCAGGACCCACTTGTTGGAGTTTTGCTGGCACCCTGGAAACCCTTGGGGTACGTTGACTCACTGGGATGAGAAGGGGAGTGTGGGGGTCCTTATCAAGGATAATATACAGATAGTACTGAGAAAATCCCGGTATGATTTCCGTAGGGTCAAGGGCCGCTCAGACAGGTGCAAAAAACCGTGGGCGCTCGCACACAATTGGCCTCGGCCGGCGTGCCAGGGAGGCCACAGGGTTGAGGCATTCGGGTTTAGGGTTTAGGGGTGTAGGGTTTATGGTTTAGGGGTTTAGGGGTTAGGGTTTAGGGCTTTTTAGCCTGAGATCCTGGGGTCATGAGCTGCTGCCTTGGTAGTAGGGGATCCTAAGCTACAACTCCGCCTTGTTCCCCTCCCGCGTGCCAAAGTACCGGGCTAAGGGTTATAGGTTTAGGGTTTAGGGTTATCACTAAGCTGGCTTCATTTGGGGTTGATTTTGGCGGAGGGGGGGTAAGGGTGGGTTGGAGTACAGGATGCCATGATCTCAGGGGACAGACATCCTGGTCTGTAGAACAAGTAAGGCGACGCTCCATCAGTAAGGCCTCTTCTGTCCCATTGCAAAATTGATTGGAGGCCCAGTCAGCTTGGACTTCTTTGCACTTGAGGCATTTGTGCGCTGCCGCTCGAGAATTAAGACAATTCTGGTTTGGCAGGCTCTCATCCAAGTGGGTGGAGAAGAGCTATGGCAGGAGACTTCTTGCCGAGCCTTTCTGCGACTTACGATAGGGGAGGCAGATTTGTTTCCTTGAGCTGTATATTCGGGGATCGTTGATCGCTGCAAAGATACGAGCATTCAACGTTCCAGAGGGTCTAGTGCGAAGGGCTATAAACCCTACGACCCACAATCTCCTATAAACTGCAGGAGATGTCAGCAGCTGGCTTGAGCGCTGAAGGCTTCACGCTACACCTGAATGGAGTTTGCTGGCTGCAGTATCAGACTGGTGGACTTCAAGAGCTAGCCTGAAGGGACAATTGCTGAGGGTTTGGGGTTGGGGGGGGAGGGGGCATGCTCCTTCCAAAAGACCCTAAGGCAATAAAAGCCAAGGAAAGGTTTGGGGTGTCTGGTTGGTTTAGTGTTTACGGTAGGCTTCCCAAGAATTCAATTTGCGCATGGGGTAAGGTGAGGTTCTAGAATCTTCTTTCCTGAGTAGATGAGCAGGAGCAAGGGCTGAACCAGCAGTCTGTGTGCACTGCCAGGGTTGAAATCGAGCTTTCGGAACTTGGGATGTTCATGTACAAGCCTAAATAAATACCAACATTATCGTTCTAGTTTCCGCATAACTCAAATGGACCTCAACATGTTAGTCACACGAGAGCTATAGAAACTTTAGAGGAGGTTATAGTGACTATATAGAGAGTATTATAGGGTTTTTAAAAGGGGATACTAGAAGTTTAGACAAAAGCAGGGGGCGGGGATTCTGGGACCCTTGAGGGTACATGTAGGGTATAGAGCGTATAACCTCATATTTAGGCTCCTACATTGTGGTTGGAGGCGTCCTGATTATGAGCTCAGGCAACTGGAGCGGAGGCGTTCTGATGTTTTTTTTTGGGTGGGGGTAGTTCCACATGGACGCCCAACGTATGCATAATCATTGCCTTTTGTACGAATCTTATGGGCTTTGGGAAAATAGTTAACCTAGAGGCTTTGGGACATTACATTGTATTCCATAATTGTAAGGCCCAGGTATGGGCTGGAATTTAGGCAGGCACTGGAGACTTAGAGCTCTGTGGCTTCGCTGTTCACCCAAGCTTTCCCAGGCACATAGGGGGGAAACCCACCTCTGAGGCATGCGAAAGCTTGGCGCGGAATTTTTTGGATGTCAAGTTAGGTGGACAAATTCAGGAAGAAAATTCATGATTCTTGATTTCTTGCATACACAGCCATGGCCATCACTAGTGAGGTGCCCCTGTCTCTGCCGCCGCCGGAAGGGGAGGCTGTGGTGCTGCTGGATCGCGGCAGGATCGTATCCTCACTTCGGGACAGGCTCTTCGATTAGAAATTCATGGGTTGGGCGTTTGGGTGGGGTGTTTCAAACCCATTTGTTACCTCTTCTTGGCAAGGGGGATCCGAGTGTGTAGAGTTGGCCATGTGATGAGACCACCAGTGGGGGATGTAGTCAGCAAGCAGGGGCCTCTGCAGCGGGCAAAGGACTTTTTTTGCAAGCCCTTGAAGCATAAGTCGAGAGTTGAGAGGGCATTTGTTGTCCCAAGTGCATGGAATTGACTCGCTCTGTATAAATCTTCTCTTCATTCAAAGTTCACTGCTAGCCGCTAGCCTTTTCCTAATTGCCTGCCTTTTTTTCAGTTCCGGAAGCAGCTGCTATTCGTCCGCGAATGGCGCATAAGCGAAAGGACAACAGTGAAGCACGCTGCTTAGTTGAATGTTCATTTTCTGAAATGAGCTCAAATGACAGAGGTTTGGCCGGTCTGTTGAGCCATTCGATGCGCGATATGTGGTAGCATTCAGAAATGGAGTCCCCCTTTTTGAGTCCCTCGAATTAGGATTATAGGGGTCTATATTGGGCCCAGAAGTACCTAAACAAGACGTAAGACCCTATACCCTGAACCCTAAAGGTCGAGTCGGAGCCGCCGCAGTTTGAATAGCTTGAGATGGGACAGATGGGTTGTTCTCATAATTATGGGCCTCTTGTCTTACTGGTTCTTCGTGGGGAATAAGGGAGTATTACCACAATAGAATCCTTATGGAATATGTTCCCGTATTCCCTACTCAGAACAAGTAAGTTTCGATTATAGAACTTATATTGTTAACCCTGGACCTCAAGCCGCAAGCCTGAAACCCCCAACCCTAAACTAATATTCAGGGGTACCAAAATATGCCACGTATAACTACCCATGAACCTTCCAGTAGATTGCGGAACTTTCCTTGCTAGAAGACGTGGCCAAGATTGCTGAGGCTTTTGTCGATGGACTGGGCCGAGGGCACCAAAGTGCGAATAAACTGCGGTACGAGGGCTCTCTGGTTGCAGTCTATGGGTTTAGGGTTTAGGGTATTTGATGTGGGGCGTATCGGGATGTATGGGGACACTGAGTGGCTGAGTGGTACAGGGAGTTATCTAGAAAAAAGGGTCTAGGTGCAGAAGAATCATCACGGTATAACCAGCTGATGTCCTACAGTCGCTTTATATCGCTTTATGAGAGTGTTGGTGGTTCTAGTACACACTATGCACACTTGCCCAGTTGTGCCTGATTTTAGTGGAAGACAACTTAACTGCCACGTAACCCTCTACCAGAGATCCCTAAACCCCCAAACCCAAAACCTTAAACCTTAATCCCCTAGACCCAAAACCCTAAACCCTAATCATGACGTCAAGAGGTGTCTCATGACTGGGAGTGTTTGTGCCAACGGCTGGGTCCTGGGTGGGTTGAAGTCTGAGCGGTTTGGGGGCTTTAGGGATCCAATTCAGTTTGGGTTTCAGGGGTTTACCATTTATGCTTTGTGGTTACTATTAGTTGGTGGGGGCCCATCCGAGTACATGTAGTAGCTTCCCCACATAGCCAAGATGGAATCCCAAAAATAGATTCCTTATTCCAGGCCCCCCCCCCAAAAAAACGCCCCTATATTTTGCTCCCCACACATGCGTTACAAACCCTGAACCCCTAAACCCTAAACCCTATAAACCCTAAACCCTATAAACCCTATTTCTACACATACAACCATCGGCGAGCGCAAGGTCAAGTCTGTAGACGTGGTGCATCGATCTGTAACGGTCCAGCGCAACGCCGGAACAGACAACGAGGCAGCTCTGCTAGACCCCAATAGAGTATGGTTTTAGGGTTTAGGGATTATATTGGTGTTTAGGGTTTTGGGATTTTAGGGTTTTGGTGTTTATATTGAGGTTTTCGTTTTTTTGGGCTTTTTGGTTTAGGTTGGGAGTTGGTACGGCTGCTGATGTGAAACCCTGCAGGAACTCTGATTACTATACTACCACTTTGTCCAAGGCATAAGATACTTCGGGTCACGCAGGGTTTTTCGTATCAACCAGTTTTATAGGCTTCAGGGCCCGAGTTTTCCAGAATGAGGGTTTTACCCTGGTAGACCACCAAAATACTACAATCTACTCACAGGAGGTGGGCCGTTTCCTAATTTTTTGGACTGTATATAGCGAATATATTATATTTCCTTGCTCACTACTAGCCACCAGTAAGTTATAGCCGCAGGGTCGGGATAAGGGGTTTGGTTGGTGTTATTGCTTTTCGGAATAACAGGGACATCTACTTGAGTCTTTTTATCACCCTTAATCCCTATACAATCCCCATAAAGCCGTAAAAAGCCAATTTCGATAGGGTCCCCCAACCTGTTCAGATCTCAGACGAGCATTTGGTGATTGGACTTGTGCTGATGGTCACACGGGAGGGTTAAGGGCTGAAAGCAGCAGCCTCCGAAGCACCACAAAGATTTTTCTAAGGTTATGTGGCAGATCGTGGCAGTTTGGATTGAAGTTCAACTCAGGAGTGAGGACTTTCGGCCAGTTGAGTGAAGGAACTTGTCTTGTGCAAAAAGCCGTGATAGACCCTGAGCACCAACATTTCTTGGGCCCTTCCAATGCAGGGATAAGCTGTGACGTAGCACAGTACGGCTTTATGTCAAGCCTTGGCTGGCACAGAGGTCATGCAACAATGTACACAAGAGAGACAGAGAGAGCAGCCAGTATGGTACATCCTTGGGGAACCAGATAACTCGTGCAGGGGAACTGCTTAAGCCCTAGCCAGCCACGAGAGTGGGAGAGAAGGTGACAGGGAGGGAGACAGCCAGCGAGAGTGAGTGGTCATGAACCGCATCCGAAAATTAACTTGAGCCACAAGCGCTCAGCCAAAATGAAACATTACGGAAGTCCCAAATCGCTCAGATGTTGGTTCGGTACCTCGTTCTCAGATTGTTCGGGGACTACAGTTTCCTTTCGGCAAGTGTTCAACCCTAAGCCTTGAATCGCGTGAAAGGCAGAGGAGCTGATCGAGTACGATCTGCTTATCGGCTCCGATGGAGTTCGTTCCCGCGTGCGTCAGGCCATGAACAGCGAGCTGCCGCCAGGCACATGAAGGTTTATAGGGCTTAGGGTCTAGGATTCCAGCCTGAATTGGGTTGTGGTGTCGTATAGGATGTGAGGGATCTTTGGGGATTATGAGGGGGATTGCAGGTTCCCTGCTACGGCGTATTGTAGGGATTTGTTTGAAAGCCTCCCCTGGAGTGTCCCAAAATCGTACGTGATCGTCATTACCTGGGCGTTTGCAGGGAGCCCAGTGAAGATCCTATACTGTAGGGGCCTAAATAATTACCAATATTATGGTTCCACGTTCCTTGGGGTTTAGGGTTTAGAGTTTAGGGTTTAGGGATAATTGCCAATATTAGGGTTCCATATTCCTTATATATAATTATGGTCTATGGTACCTCAAATGGACCTCCAAACGATATTGGTGATTAGTTAGGCCCCTGTAGTAATTAGTGTGTAAGCGTATCGGTTTGGGTTTAGTGTTCCAAGGTTCAGGTGTCAGGAAGCTTTTTTTTGCTGATGCCGTGCGTGCTGTGCTCTTGCGCGCGTTGGCACCTCTTGAAGCTCCGTTTTGTTTTTTTTGTTTTTTGCAGGTTCCAGCTTGACTGATGAGGATCCGTTTTACTGCCTGAAATGCAACCTGAACCGTAAACCGTGCATGAGCGGGCCCTGCATGAGGGCAGCCATTTTGTCATGCCGCCTCCCCCCATGGCGAAGATCCTTGATTTTAAGCCTTCCATGCCAAAAGCAGAGAACCACTGCGACCAACAAAGCCCCAAACACCCCTTCGTAGCTGGGCAGGTTCACTGTAAAGGTGTTGAGGCTTCTGCCATGTTATTCTGTTAGACTAGGGAACTCAGCAACTGGGACTCTGTGAAGCTTGCTTTATCTTGATTTCCCGGTTGAAGATGGACAGGCCGCTTTGAGTCCGAGCTGCGCGTCATGCCGGGTAGGCGCGCAAGAGAGCTTTGCAGTGCTTGCAGCCGTGGATGGCACGACCTGCATGCCAAACATGCCTCAGCTGGATACTCAAATCGAACCAGGCGCTTGCAGCACCAACTTAAAGTCCGGTTCAGAGCAAAAAGGCGGACGTGGGCTAGAGGCTTCCAGGGAGGGAGCGAGCAGACGCGTGGAAAAGCTCAGCCGTTGTGACCGTAGCGGACTGTTTGGTTTACAGTAATCTTGGAGGGCACTCTGCTACAATCTGGACATCCGGAGCGTTTGTGCGTGTACCCATTCGCTAGGTGGCAGGTGCTTCACTTGGATCTGCCCGATCATTTGAGCGCTCGTGGTGTCCATGCAGCCCAGATGCATCACTGAAGCTGGAGTGTATACTATACCGGGAATGGACAAGAAATTGCCGCATCGTTTCGGGCATCGTTTCGGGAAAAGGGTAAGTTTAGGATAGGGAGTGCAGGAATAGAAAAGAGCATGCTGTATTATCAGGGATTATATAGGTTCTACTACGGGGATTCATTCCTCGATTCCCACTGCAACCCGCAAGGTCAGCGCTCAGGGACTCGGATGGCGTTCAAGGCTTTCTGGAACCCTGATGGCCCTCCTCTGCTTACAAACTGAGGGGTTCTGCAATATGTTACTTACCGGCTCTTAATAGGGAATACTGGAATATGCTCCCTAATAATATGTGCCCTTATTCCCTACTAACCCCTAGTAAAATAATGCAGCTTCACACAAGCTGGGTGGGTCAGAATTGCTTAGGGAGTCGCCGGCTGGGTGGTTATCAGAAACGGGATGCCCCTTAGGCCCTTGGTCGAGTTCCTACAAGATCGGGATCCCTTTAGGGTTTAGGGTGTAGGGTTCATGGGTTTAGGGTTTAGGGTTTAGCGCCTACTAATCAAGATTTCGGATGCAATTTTCAGATGCCCACGTGAACGAGCCTTTGGGGGCAGCTAAACCGCAATGCCTACCCCTGCGCCTGCCCCCCAAACCCTGAGAATCCCAAACCTGGATCCCACGAACCTGGAAAGATCCTACAGCACCGTGACCCCTAAACTGGCCTTTGGTTAGCTGGGAATGAAGGAATGGAAGCTAGTATGATTGGGTTGTAAAGGATCTAGGGTTTAGAAGGAATGGAAAAGAAAATAGAAACTACCATGATGCGTTATATCGGGACTACTACTAAGGTCTGTTCCTGCATTCCTAGCAAACCGAAGGGCAGTAAACACAAGGAATAAACGCCCAAGTCCTCAAACAGCTAAATTGAGCCCTCAACGTGTTATCCCTAGCTATCCTTATTATGTATATACAAGTATATATCTATATATATATATGTATACACCCACGCAACCGTATAGTTGCCTGTATAGTATTTACATGTGTATATAACATACACATGTATATATATATATATATCCTACACTGAAATTGGCCCTCTTGAAAACCCTAAATCCCTAAATCCCCAAATGAACCTTTCAACCCTAAACCTATGCATGGCTTTTCACTGGGAAGTCAACCAGGGCTTTGCTGAAGCGAGGCAATGGTTTCTTCGGAAGCGCCCTTTGGGCTGTTCCTTGCCAGGTATAAAATAGGGGCTTTATAAGGATAATGGAAAATGAGATGGAAACTATAGGGATTATAGGGATCATATAGGGAGCTTTGGGGTTTCAGAGTTTTAGGGTGGAAGGCGTTTAGGGTCTTAGAATCTCGGCTTTAGAGATATAAAGTGGCGTCAGCATGGATTGCACAGGCTTGCATGGGGATCATATGGTACAGGGATGATGCAGTAAGTGAGGAGATTGTAGAAGAGTACCATTAGATTGCACAAGTAGGCATGTGGAAAGTCACAGTGCTGTTGCCCCGCAGGGGTTCTTCGGTGGCTTGCAGCAAGATTTGGCCATGTCTCGAATGTTCCAGGGGGTTTTTTGGGACCTATAAGGTTAAGGGTTCCAAGCGGATCTGCCTTCTGGTGTTCCTTTCTGCGTGAGTTCGGGAGCCTGCGACAGTACATGGGCTTCTGGCAGTGTGAGACTTGGTAGTTTCCCTAAACAAGGGGACCCCAATATAGACCCCAAAATACTATTACTATAGTCCTTATTATTGGGACCCCCAAAAAGGTACCCCTAATTTTGGGAAACCCCCACTTGGCCTCACTGTTCCAGATTGAGCAATTGCGAAGGTGCTATTGTTGCCTTCGATAAGCCTGGGGATCCCAGTCGCCCCAATGTAGGTAATACGTACAGGCTTTAGGGCATAGGGTATAGGGTTTAGGGTGGGGTATTCTTTGGCATCCAGATACCTTATTCTGGCAGCTGCCACCTGTTGGTCGGCTTCTGCTTTGGCACAAGGAAGACTGGCAAACTAGCAGCACCCAAAGAAACACATACTAACGACACCGAAACGAATTGCGTCCGCCCTGAAAAATCAGTCATTAGTCTTCTTGATGGAATGCTACAGTCCCCGCGGTCCTCCATATAGAGCAGGGATTAATCCTCCTTTTGAGTATTTATTTGGTTCCACCAAAAAGCATTGCTCCACTGAGGTTCTGCATCCCAAATGCTGCTGGACCGTGACAGCCTGAGAACAGAGCGTTGGATGGGGCTGTGTCTTTTACTAGACACCGCAAAACTGGGAAGAAGTGCTCATTGCAGATTCCTCAATTCCTACTTGAAGGAGAAGTCCCCTGAAGCAGTCATAAATTAATTTACTAATCAACTCTGAAAATCCACTTCTGACTTTACCTTGAAGGTAAGAGTCTGCTTTGTTCATCCTGCGTGCTTCACTGCTTGCTTTCAGAGAAGTGTCCACATGTGCCGGCCTCAGACGCAGTCCGTGCTTCCAAAAAGTATTTTGAGGTCTATATTGTAAGGATTCCAATATTTTTGGAAACTAGCGGCCAAACCCTAGACCTTATGCCCCCTCAACCTTACACCCCTATACCCTGAAGCCCTAAACCCCCACACCCCCAAACCCCTAAAACCCTATGTAACCCAATACAGTAGTTGCCATTTTCTTTTCCATGATCCCCTCTATAACCTCAGTATATATCCTAAAGCCCAGACCTCTAGGCACTGCGTCAGTACACCCCCAAAGCCCTAAAGCCCTAAACCCCTAAAGCCCTAAACCCCTAAAAGCCTAAACCCCTAAACCCCTAAAAGCCTAAACCCCTAAACCTCTAGGCACTGCGTCATTGTGTCATGGAGCTCGGACGAGGCCCCAGAGGAGCTCCTGGAGGCCTCCGACCCGGCTTTAAGCACTGGCCCAGAATCCTAGGAACTCCTTGGACCCCCACTACCTGGTACCCCATTACTATTAAGGCTACATTCCTTCTGTGTTTGGGTCTGAATTGGTAGTGGGGTACCAGGTAGTGGGGGTCCTGAGAGTCCCTAGGACAGAAGAACTGTAGTGATCTATACTGAGTACACAGGGATTATATGGGGACGAATATAAGGATTCTACAACTTATGTAGAACTTATATAGGGCTTAGAGGATTTTGTGCCGAAGAGTGGAGAATTACATGGACAAGAAACTTGGCACATGAAATGGAAGCTGGGATTGTTTTAGACGTTTGTCGGGATAGGTACTGACATTATGGCTCAGGAAGCCTGGTACGCATGATTTCGGTATAGGGATACCGCAAGTAGATCCCAAGAATGATGTAGGTAATTAGGGTTTAGGGTTTATTTAGGCCCCTGTACTATGGCAGTCTATGTAGGTAATTAGGGTTAAGGGGAAATTCGGGCCCCCCAGGCATGGCTGTTGTCAACCACCGTCGTTTTGTTGTGGCCCAAATTATACCCTAAACCCTAAACCCCAACATGGGACCCCTAAATCTGGCATGGAAAAAGCAGCAGCAGGGGAAGGGGAGGGCTGGATTGAGCCATCTTTGACGAGTAGCCAAATGCTTAGGATAACCCCCCACTGCAACAGTGGTATGGTAGGAAAATGAATCACGAGTTTGGGTAAGAGCCTTTGAAAGCTGCGCCGTGCCCCTCTTCAACACACACTGTGGATGAAGGAAATCTTGCACCTCTTAAGATACCCCACATCCTGTAATTCTTAATCCTTTATATCCCTTCTGGTTACTATTACCGGGTGGGGAGTCCTCCTAAAAGATGGATGCTATGGCAGCCTTAAGGGATCTGAGAAAATAAGAGGATGCTACAGGGCATTTTTTGAGATGGGTCCTGGGACATGGAGCCCTTCCAGAGGTTCCGGGAGATATAAGCAGCTGCTTCAAGTGTACTACTGTTATCAGCTCCTTAAACCTTACGTGCCTGGCGAGTTCCAAGGATCAGATCTCAACACATCAAGGTGTGAATTACGGCATCTATGATGGGGGCTTCTGGGCAAAACAGCTCGTGGAGAGCATATACTACTTTGGCTACCTTTGCGGGAATGACCGCGAACTACCCCTCATGCAGTTGTTTTCTTGCGGCTTCCATATGCTCATGCTAGCACCCACCGCCCGACATAGTCCTTGCTGCTAGCTTCTCAGAAAAGGTGATCCCTCCGTCTCAGACACCCCCACACTAGGGCATTGATGATGCACTGCAGGCCCAAACACCGGAGGCACTGGAAGACGTCTGAGCCCTACGGTTACGGCTTGAATGGATGTAATAGTGGAGCATCAAACGGGAAAGCAAACGGAAAGTAACATGGAAACTAGGAGTTTATAGGGGTGTATAGGGATCGAAATAACCTAATTTAGGTAGTTTTTTACAGACTTCAAGGCCCAAAGTAGGTATTTTTTTGTATGCTTGGATCCCTAGAGTTTGGGTGTTGAAGATCATTATCTGATCATAGTCCTAGTAGCCACAGTAACAACTTCAATATAAACCTGCAGGCCCTATGCTCCTTTGGCATGACGGCATGCAGGATGTGGTGCATCCGAATTATTTTCCCATGCGCGGAGAGGGACCTTTAGTTGTAACCTGTGAAGCAAGAAGTAACCGTAGAAGTGCATGGCATTTGCTTGTATCTTTGCGTGCAGGTTTGCCGTACATAGTTCTTGGGGTTCTGGCTCTATGGGAAGGAGCCGGGTAGTAAAGCCCGGCAAGCTTAACTTCATGATTTTGTTGTTCGCATCTGGAGTTACCCCTGGATCAAGACGGTTGGGTGACGCCCTGAGGTAGATGAAGTGCGTATGGTGCCCCGCCTCAGGACGAGATGTCCTTGCCTTCTTGAGGCTTTGTCCAAGCTATCCCTTCCTGTCAACACCCTTCATACTGGGAGTAGTTGCGGCAACGCTTTGCCCTCAGGTGCTTCTGCGCTACTTCCCGCAGCTGGCAGCATGGCCTTCATTTCAGGATGTCTTGATTTCATGGGCTCCCCATAGCAAGAATGGAACTTGAGGGTGGGCAAAGGGGGAGCCCCGTTTGAGAAGATCCCTTGCGTTGTAGTTACATTATAGTTTCCCCACTAGCCGGATGTCGCCCCAGAGGGCAGGCCTGAACCCTGACACCCAACTCCAAATCCTCAACTCCCAAACCAACGCCCACAAGCCCAAACCTATCGTTGGTGAGTAGGGCTCGGGGAAGTGGATCGCCATACCAGCCCCTTCATCATCCCCAGTAGGAATCCCCAGATCCCATACTCCTTTCTTTACTACCAACCACCCCAAACTCTTAAACCCTAATTAGACCCGATAGTAGCTTCCATTTTCTTTTTCATTCCCTCATTCCCTACTGACAACGAGACGGTAATTTCCCAAAAAATTAGGGGACCCCAATATAGACCCTAATATACTGTAACCGCCCAAAAAGGTACCCTTAGTTTTGGGAAACCCCCATTCCCGAAATCCTAAACCCCCATTTTCTGAATCCTAAACCCAAAACCGTAAACCCCTAAACCCTAAACCCCTAAACCCTCAACCATAATGTCCGAAGGGTTGCAAAAAAAAACCCTATAATGTAAGGAGCCAAGGAAAAGATTCCCCGGGAAGCAGCTGAAAACTTCCTCGCGTCCCGGGCCTCCAAAGCTGTGGTCAGCCGCTGTCGGCCTCTCCACGACCCGGACCATGCTCTTTGCTTCTAGGCTTAGTAAGGGATTACAAGAGTAACCCCCCCCAAAAAGGACCCCTCCCCCGGTTTAAGGAGCTAATAAGGACTATATGGGGCTTTATAAGGCCTAATAGGGTTCTAAATTGGGGGGGGGGGTTTAGCTTTGGGGGGTACTATTGTAATCCCTTACTTAGGTTTTAGGGCTTACAGGGTTTATAGGGGGTTTAGGGGCTGGGGCTTAGGGTTTAGGGTTTGTAGTGTTTAGGGGTTAGGGTTCAGGGCTTAGGGGCTAGGCCTTCCAGTGCTTCGGGACATTGCTGCCATGGCTCTGGACAAATTGTGTGCATGCATTGCTTATTGCATACGGCTGGCCAACCGCAGCCAGAGAGAATCGTCGGCACAAAGCCTTTGGAAAGTCTTGTATGCTTTGCAGTCTAGGAGTGTTCGTGTCGTAACGAGCGGGCAGTGAAAATCAGCTTGTTTGATGCACTTGACCTTGGGGCTGCACAGACAGAACAAAAGCACGCGGTGGAATGCAGAATCCCAAAGCCTCAGCCTCTAAGGTCCTGAATCCGAGATACATTGCCACCCCCACTATGTAGGACCATATGTATTCTTTTTCCATATGCACTCCTATAGATGCAGCAACCCTTCTTAACTCCATATAACTCACTGCCCTAGTGAGGTTTTACCTACATCCTAAACCCTAGATCCCCAACCCTAAACTCCAAACCCAAATGCCAAACCCCAAACCCCACATCCTAACCCCCAAACCAGAACATCCAAACCCTAGACTCAAAACCCAAACCCTAAACCCCATGCCAGCCTTGAGGTGTCTTGGGCGATGCTGCGCATGCCGTTGGCGGCGGCTCGTTGGGCCAGGGCTGTGGGACTCTCAGGGATGATGTGAGGATCTACAGGGATCATATGAGCTATATTCTAAACTCCTTAAAAGGGGTTATATTAGGGAATATATGGGGGAGCATTTTTAAGGATTATATATCAGGGAATATATAGGGGACTATGATAGGGGTTATTAAGGGGGATACTAGGAGTTTAGACAGTGATAGTGGGGTTTATATAGCGGTTCACCTAGGGATTTTTATAGGGCCTTGGGGGAGATAATTAATCCCCCGAAATTGAGAGGAAAGTGGTAAATGACATGGGCACTGAGATATATACAGTGGTTTATGGGTAGGGTAAGTCGTTCTTAAAAGTCAGGAATCCGTCGACCATTTACGGAAACTGTCATGTATGTGCCGTTTGACAGGACAGTAGTCTTTTGGATCCCTTGCGGGCTTCACTTATTTTTGGCTTTTGCGAAGTCACTTGGACTCTTGCCCGTTTTGGTAGCAAACTTTCGTAGATGTTGTGCTTCTAGTTCTAACTGATCCGAGTGGCAAAAAAGAGGTTCTATGATTTCGCATCTTTGGTGGGAGGTCCGTAGCTTGGGAAGCTGTAAGGGATCTAAACCCTAAACCCGTGTATGGCGGCTTCAGGATTTGGATTTCTAGAGATAGGTGATTAGGATCCAACCCTACCCTAAACCCTAAGCCCCAAACCCACCCTAACACTACACTCCGCAATGGAAAGAACAAGATGAATCCAATTAAGGCTTGACGACAGGGCAGTTGGCAAAGACTAGCTAGGGAAACACCTAAGCCTAAGTTACATCCAGACAATATTCTATATTCCGTTTTTGATATGTCGACCTTATGCTAACAAAACCTGGGGCCGTCTATTGTTGGTTGTTCCGTTCTTCTGTTTGGTTCTCCGTGTCTTGCCCTGGCCTTCACTTCCCCCTGTTTGCCCTTCATGAGCCTCAGTTTTCGGAGTCTTTCTTCGGATTGCTCTCCTTGGGAATAAGCGACTGATTACTCCGCAGTGAAGACTTCACATCATGTTCATTCCTTACCCCAACGCCTTGAACACCCTACATCCCAAACAATGTAAACCATAAAGACCTGTTCAACTCTCTCGCGACAACTCAGACACCTAGAAACTCAGACTGCTGGAACTATCTGCGCACCTGAGCATCAAATACTCAGCCCTGAACCCAAATGCGTAACCCGCTCAAAATGATAAGACCTTGGACCCCAAAATCCTAAAACTCCAAATACCTGTAAACTCTAAAACCCTTAACCCCTAACTCCTAAAAACCTTAAAAACCCTACACACCCTGGGTCCTAAACCCTAGCTGCCCTTTGGGCCAAGGCAGTGCAGCCCTACAGGATGCCGCGGCCTTGGCTGAATGCCTCAAAGAGGCCTGAGGCGTTTCAGGTTTGGGGTTTAGGGTTTAGGGTGTGTGTGTGTGTGTGTGTGTGTGTGTGTGGGTGTGGTTTAGGGTCCAGCATTTAGGGGGGCGGTTTGAGGTTTTGGGGAAGGGTTCAGGATGAAGGGTTAGGGTTTGGGGTCTAGGGTTTAGGTCTTGGGGTTGGGGTTGAGGGTTTACTTTGGGATTAGGGGCCTCCCTGTAACCTGTCTGTAAGCCTCGAAATCCTTCTCTGGATTATGTTTAATCAGCTTCTTGGTGTGTGGCATGCAGAGCAGAGCTCATGTGCTGGCTGAGCTAATCGCTTCTGCGCGGGCCCCCGCTCAAAAACAGGGGTTGATTGTTGGATTCTTGTCAAGGCTTCTTGATTCCTATAGAACCTTTTAAAAAGGTTATCTAAGGATGCATGAGGTTTAGGATTGAGGGTCAAAGGGAGAAAGAGCGATCTTTAAGGGTTGGGGAATGGGAGACAATCAAATAGAAAAGGAAATTGACAACAATGTGAAAGCTGGGGTCATGTCGCAAATTTCATGCATATCATGGAAGCTTAGCTTAACTTCATCAATCGCAAAAACTATTGTGAAGGGGTGTGGAGGGAAGGAGGGTTTAGGAAGCTCAGGGTTTCATAGAGGCTGGAGTTTTGAGGGGCTTAGGGTCCAGGTTCAAACGGGGTCCAAGGTGGTTTGGTGGTTTCTACCGGGTGTCGGGGCCAGAGCTAAGGATTTCAAGGTTAAGGTGGGTTTAGGGCTTGGGAAGGGTCATGAGGATTTGCTGGGTTAAGAGAGTTTAGGGGTTTCAGGGCTTACGGTGTAGGATACTTGGGTTAGGTTTTTGCAGAGTTTAGGGGTTGAAGGGTCCAGGAGTTTGGGTGCAACGCCCTCGAAGCTAAAGCCTGAAACGACCCAGCAACGTGGCGGAAGAGAAAGCACTCCATCAAGAAAGTCTGCAGAAGTCGCAGGACTGGATCCCTGCATTTTTGTTCCGAATGCCTAACTTCGACGTTCCTTCTACAAGTATTTCTTGGTTGAGTGACCACGGTCCTCCCGCACGGGCATTCTGGGAGCATCAACCATGACAGTGCATAGAACCCATAATCGCTATAGCGATTACCTCCACATCTATTCCGAATATCAAAAGACCCGTTTGAAAATCATGAGTCTATAAACCTGAATCCCCCTCCCTTCCCCGCACTCTGCCTCCCCCGCTTAGCAGGGTGCGCGGTTACGGGAAGCTTTGGTGGGCCCCAAAGCACGCAGCGCTCCCTTCGAGGAGACCTGAAGGGCTAGATGACAGCTAGGGATGGGTTTAGGGCTTGGGGTCTAGAAGCAGGTTGTAGGGGTTGCCACATATTGGGATTTGAAGGTGCTGGGGCTGCAGGTGGTGTGCTTGTTGAGCGGCCGTGGGGCCCTCATTAAGTAGCACTAACCGCTTTCTTTGGCCCATCATGCCAGGCTTGCAGCGGAAATCTGGACAAGCTTGGTTCAGCAGAGAAGCCCCCGTACATAAGGGCTTCGGGCTTAGGGTTTAGTACGCGGCTGCCACCTTGCGCAGGAGTGGGCGCAAGGACGGGAAGAAGCTTTGGTCAGCAACTTTGATTTGCTTTTTTCAGGCTGGCTCTGGAATGAGAACCCCTAGCGGTCCACACGCGCAATGCAGGCAATATTTACAGCCTTCAGGGCCCAGTTTAGCTGTCATTCGTATACTTGGATCTCTAGGGATTTGACAAGGTGAATTCAGGGACTCTCAGGTCTGGGGCCAACCTAAGCGTCGCCACAACTTGGGAGTGCTGCTGGCCAATATACGGCCAAGCCCTTCATGTCATGGCCCATGGAAACGGCCGGTAATCTCAGAAAACAGAGGCTCCCAGCCCATTCCCCCTGAAGCAAGGTAGCATGGCCGCTTTCTCTGAGCGACGAGCTGATGAGGGCTGGGCACTTCTGGACTCAGCTATCTAAAAGAGCTTGAGGGTTTAGGCTTCCATTTTGTTTTGGGGGGTGGGTTCTAAAAGCTTAAGGGCTTAGGCTTCCATAGTTGGGGGAGTTGGGGGGGGGGGGGGGGGGNNAATGCACCATCCCACGCTGGGATGAGCTACAGGGTGCATCAGCGTACCTGAATTAGATTCTCCAATCGGCCAACAGGGCATCGTAATTGCAACGCTGGCACTGTTGGAATGGGATATGCGGTTTCCATTTATGCGTTTCAAAATGTTACCAGTTGTCTACTGGTGTACTGAATGCACTGAGTTGTTTAGGCTCGTAGGGCAAGACTGGCCAACGACCGAGGAGGGCTGTTTCTGCTTTCTCTTTTCAACCATGATAGGGAACCCCTTCCCATCACAATGAGCCCTCCGCGCCCGTAACAATAAAGCTACCCTATTCTATACTCTATACTTGTTTATTCCTGGGAACAATTCTAATTAGCGGAGGTCAGGAGATTTGGGGGCAGTAGTACACAGACATCTACATTGGGCAATACCCACTTGTACCCATGGCTTTTCCTAGCCATGTGTTCCGCGAGGATCCTGCCCTGGAGAGTTGATAGACGCCCTAGAGTCGCTGATGTCTATGCCAAACAAGCTGTTTACTCCTTTATGCTCGTGCTGCCCAGATTCGTGCGAAGTTGTCGTCGCTCCTTTTCCAGTCGTTGAAGGGAACAGCTGGGCGGGTCGTAGTGACTTTGAATTGGAGGCTTTAAGCGCAGAGTTAAGCATGCATGGCCGACTTGGTTTAGAGCTTCGTCTTTTTCGTGCCCTTCCCAAATTCCCCTTGCGTCGGTGCATACGAAGCTATTCACTTGATCCGCAGGGACGATTTTTGGGCAAGTTTTCTTGGAAGTGCAGGGAAAGCTGCTTTGTAACAAGTATCCCAAATTTTGTGTACGCAGTATGGGTTATACCACTGAAGCCGCTACTACTACTTCAACCTACTTACATGTCCGCACGATGCCAGCGTTGCCTGCTAGTGCGGACTGCGCACGCCTGCACGATGACTGTGCTCCTGAAGACTTCGAGAGTAGGGCTGACATCGCGCCCATAAAGCCCGAAACCCTAGACATACCTAAAAGTACTGGAGGGTTGGAGGATATGTAGCACCACGGCTTTCAAAGCCAATGCGGGCCCCTCAACCCCCGAATACTACATACCCCAGTAGTATAGGACCATGACTTGGGGGTGCCTCTAAACCTAAACAAAATGTGGTAGTTTCCATTCTCTAGATACCCCTAGGTGGCTTGGAACTTGGGCCCGTAAGATGCAATGTTTTGCAGGACCTCATTGAGCTTCAATCAGCAGCTGAAGTGCGCGCCAGCGCGCTGGTGGGGGAACCTGGGTTGACGTTTTTTTTTCAAGGTGTTACATGCGGGTTACATATGGTTACATTGTTTCCGTCAACGAGATTAGGGGGGTTATATAGGGGTCCTTGGCAGGGCTTCGAGGGTTGTATTGGGACATGTGGGGTTCCTTCAAAGGGCTTACGACGATTAGATACGCTTAGATAAGGTTACCTTGAAGGGTTTCTAGTGGTTATATAGTTAGTGCAGCTGTACATGGGGCAACTTGTGACCAACAAATTCAAATCACCAGGGACCCTCAGAGGGGTCTTCATTCGGAAAACCCGTGGTATTTTTGCAGCGAAGGGCTGCCACATTTGGAGACACTTCCATTTGCTCTGTGAGCAGTTCTAGCACTATCTAGGTAGGTGAGACCCAAATTATGGCCAGGTAGTAGGGTTTAGGGTTTAGGAATTTCCGATAGTAGTAGCTACCATTATGACTAAATGACATTTGTGCTTCGCAGTATGCTTACCTAGCAGCTCTTAATGTACCTCATGCCACATTATGCGGAGAGGCGTGCTCAAAATTGTACGATGCAAGCACTAGAATTCTTCTAGACCCCCAACCTTCAACCCTACATCTCTTGCGAACCCTTAACACGCTAAACCCCCTAAGCCTTCAACCCTCTGTAAACCCTAAATCCTCTAGTAGATCTTGAACCGTAAGGTTTAAACCTTCTGTAAAACCTACACAACATAGACTTAACGTCCTCTGACACAAGCCCAGAACCCACGAACCCACGCCCTAAACCCAAAAAAAAACTCAACATAAACGCTAAACCCCCAAAACCTATAAACCCTATGAAGACACCACCCTAAGCCCTGAAAACCCTAAACCCTGGTCGTTATACACCCAGAACCGTGGGGCAGGTGCAAGGCCCTCTGGTGTTCGGCTTCTTCCTCGAGCAGTTGGGACGAGGCTGGCCTGGTTGGTTGTTAGACAGGTTTGGGGTTTAGGGGTTCAAATGGCATAGGGTTTGGGACTTAGGGGTTTAAATGGCCTAGGGTTTATGGTTTAAGTGGTTTAGGGCTTTGGGTTTAGGATTTTAAACAGCTTAGGGTTTAAGTGGTATAGGATTTAGGGTATAAATGTTTTAGGGTTTAGGGTCCGGGTCTATAACTGGAAATGCTTTAAGCTCAAGTGAAGAAAGACATGGAAACTGGGGCTTATAGGAACATCTAGGTAGCTATGGAGTTCAGGGTAAATCTGCCGGTTGCTGCAGGGCATGACAAAAAAAAGAGCGGAAGATAAAGCGGAAGATTCAATGAAAGCATGGGTAACGCGGGCATTTGTGTTATAGCTCGGGATTCGCATCAGGTAATACTGCTTGCTTGTGAGGAAGGACAGGATATGGCAACTGCCGTTTTATCTACGGTTTAGGGTGCAGGCTATGGCTAAAGAAATGTGAAAGAGAATGGAAACACAGGTGTTAGTTGGGGTTTTATAGGGGCTACCAGAAGGATCTTTTCCTCCATTCCATATGGCCAAAAAAAAGTTTCTGAGTGCATGCAGCACATACACAGGCTGTAGGGTTTGGTGTTCAGTCTTATTGGAGGCTAAGGCCATACCCTTGTTTGACAGGTACTTTGGTTCACAGTTTAAGTTCTGGAGATGGGGAAGTATATGGATGATGCCCGAAACTGGGGTGATGACCAGGATTATGCGACTTTTCCTGTCGCAAGCTTGACGTTTCTCTGTGAGTGCCAAAAGGTCCTGGCTAGAAGGGCCTTCTGAGGTACTGCTGTGGGTGCAGCGTAGCATGCTGCGCTGCTATAGGGGTGGTGATGAGGAGGATGATGATACATGACCCTCCCGCCAGATATGAAACCCACCTAGCCCCACACAACAAGCCAGCAGTCTTTTGTAAGGCCCCCTGGAAGGTATTTCTTTTGTTTGAGACAGAGTAGGCTTTAAATCTTTTACAGAGGAAGACAGACAGAAAAAAACAAAAGAGAGAGACGGAGAGCGAGAGAGAAGAAGAAGAAGAAGAACAAGAAGAAGAAGAGAGAGAGAGAGACCCGTTTTCTCTTTTCAGGTACACTGAAGCCGCTGGCCGACATCGGTGCTCGCCTGCTGGAAGACAGGATTCAGAGTAATCAGGAGAGCTCCGCGGAGGCGGCCTAGTTGAAATTTTGCCAGAGTAGATTACAGTATTTTACGGTAGAGTATGGTATATCATGGCATATTATAGTATACTATGGTATATTATTGTATATTAGAGTATAGTATGGTATGTTATAGTATGTTCTGTCGAAATTTGCTATAGAAACTTCATTTTCTTTTCCATTGTCCGTATATAACGCCAGTATACTATTATAGTAGTTTCCATGTTCTTTTCCCTTATTCTCTATATAACCCCAATATTATGAGAAAAAAACCAGGACTTCAGAATATCAGTCCAGAGACTAGGTTAGGGTTCACAGGGCATGGTTGAGGGCTGTCATGATGGGTAGTTGGGGTCTAGGAATGATCATAGGGGATTTTTGGCAACCCCAACAGCCTTGGTGAGAACCTGTATGAAATTTATAATTATTATCTGACTATGAGATCCTTATCATACGGTCTTGGGTTACCAATGCAATATCCTCATATGTGCTTTTATAGTCTAAACTCCTTACGGGGGGTAATATAGTGGATTATATAGGGGCATTGTTATATTGGTTATTAAGGGGGATGCTAGGAGTTTAGACTATGGCGTATATAGTGATGAGCTATGAGTCAAAGTGTAGAGCTCGGGGCATCCCCTCATCCTTGCTGGTTTAGGGTTTAGGGTTTAAGTGTAGAGCTCGGGGCATCCCCTCATCCTTTCTGCAAGGGGATTTCTGTAATCCCAACCGCCAGACTTCCGACTCAAGAATCATGATGTGGTTAGAACAGATCCGATCCTAATTTTGGGAGTTGGCGTTACCAGTATCTCCTCACTACTATTATGCTTCGGGCATTTCCTCCCCTAAACATCGAGTCTCACAGAAAAGGACCTGTAGTCTGGGCCATCCCTCTTCCACTTCTGCTCTTTTTGGGGGCAAAAAACCTACCCCAAACCCTAAACCCTAACATACCCATATAGGCAAGCTGTAGACTCCCTTTGAACCCCAAACCCTAAAGGAATCCAGAAGTTCCGTGGCTGGTTCTATGCAAGGCTACAAACAATCTAGGGATCCAAACTCCAATGTAGGCAATATTTACGTGGATGTAGTAATGGAGAATCAAATGGAAAAGCACATGGAGGATGAACTGGGAACTAAGGAGTTTATAGGGATGTATAGGGATTTATAAAGCCTAGTGTAGGTAGTATTTACAGACATTAGGGCTCAATGCATGTGTTATTTGTATACTTGGATTTCTAGGGACACAACAGGCAAGAACACGACGGTTTCTCGGGGCTTTCTCGCGGTTTAGGGTTCAGGGTTCTGTCTCCTGACGCATTCTCCTACGCCCTCACAACTTGAGCCTGCACCGTTTGTAAACATGCTTACCACCAGCCTTATAGATCCTTCAGAAGGATCCCCCTCCAGGAAGTGAACCAGTTCGTGTCGCACCTGATGCTGGACAGAAATGCAGAGCTGGTCAGCAATGAAAATAAGGATAAGAGCAATTGTCATGGGAATAGAAATAATAGTAGAAAAGATAGAAGTAAAAAAAGTAGAAGTAATTCTAATATTGAGAGTAATCGTGATAGTCGTAATAGTAATGCACAGTTTCAAGTACACCCCAACCCCAGCGGCGCTGCTCCTCAAGTAATGGGTGTTCCGCACGCCATCCCCTGGAAGGGCCACTGTACCCCGCATCTTTTCCAGCTCTACATAGGTCTCTTTCAAAACAGTGGCTTCATAGTTTTGTGTGAGATTCCTGTTCTCAGGAAATTCCAGCCCACCATGAAGTTCAGCCCTGGAGTCCTCTTCTTCCTGCTGGAGCAAGCTGTCTTGGTACTCTGGAAAGCTGGTCTGGATCTCCTCTCCAGGCTCTGGGTGGGACAATTGCACATCTACGTAGGTTGGCGTCTCAAAGCTTTGGAGAAAGGAGTGCGCCGAAGGCGGCTTTTCTCAGGGTCACTTTGGGAGAGGCCCTTTAAAATCAGGCGCAATGCCCCAAACTCTCCAAAACCCCTTGCCAAATCTTGTGCATTTCGGAAGCCGCAAAATGAGTGGGGAGATGTCATGATGCAGATCCGTTAGTTCTGCGTGGGGGAGCTGAAGCCAACCACCGCGAAGGGATCAATCCCCTCCAGCTGAAATTAACTGCCCCCCCCTAATATGAAATATTCCCCATATTGAAATATACCACAGTGGGGAGTGTTTAATGTTGCGGGGAGTTGGGGGGGCTAAAGCCTAGACCCTGGGGGGTGGGGGGGGGGTTTGATTTTAGGGGGAGGGGATTAGGTTTCCAGGTTCCCTAAACCCTAAACCTTGGGCACTGCCCCCCCTCAGTAACAGTTGGAGAAAAAGTATAATATGGTTATGCATAGCCCTTAATAGGAACCCTAATATAGACTGTTAGGGGGGGGCAGTACCCAACCTAAACCCTAAACCCTTCCCCATTTGCAAGGCTCCAGCCTCCAATGCAGACAGCTCTAATGGCCACGGACGAGTGACTTGGCAAGACAGAGCCCTAAACCCTAAGCCCCAAAACCCTAGGGTTGAGGGGGTTTAGGGTTCAGCGCTTAAGGTGTAGGGGTTTACGGTTCAGGGCTTAAGGTGTAGGGGTTTAGGGTTTAACCCTGCCGGCTTTTCAAGGGTGATTTCCCTTAGACTCATGATGGTGTCCCTGGGTGCCTGCTGACATCCAGATCCTGAAGTTGAACTGCAAATAGTAATGATGATGATTATTGTGATAAAAGCAGGTCCTGAAGTTGCAAGGCAAAGAGTAGTACTAATACTAGTAGCAGTAACAATGACAGTAGTACTCAGAGCAATAGTATTAATAGTTGCTTGGGCTTAGTGCAAAAGGCTGAACCCAGTCAAGCACGATGAAGCCTCAAGCAACACAAGCTTGACCAAGCAGTGGATTTGACATATCGTTCTGCGACAGAAACATGTGAGTTGAAGATCTGCAGTTGCGGGGGCTCAATCAGATCCCCCAGAATTGGAGCATCTAATCTATCAACTAGTAATTCGATCCCTGGGGCATTGTTGCTGTGCTTACACGGCGAGTATTATGGACTTTGCAGGGGATCTCATTCCCTTTTCTTATGGGGTTTGCGTAGGGAATAAGAGAAAATAATCCCTATATAATCCCCATAGAATATATTCCCTTCTTACCTGAACCGTATACATATACATAGTATTCCCTATCCCTCCACTAACCCTACTCCCCACTAACCCTAAACCCGAAACCCCCAAACCCCTAACCCTAAACCCTGTAAATATTCCCTTGTTCCCTACTTACCCCCAGAAAGTTGTCGGGGCTTGGCTTTGGCTAGTTAGCTAGGAATGAAGGATTGCATCTTTCTAGTAGTCCTTATATAACCTATTATAGTAATTTTCATTTTCTTGTCCATTCCTTCATTCCCAGTTAGCCAAAAGCCAGCTGGGAAAGGTCCTATGCGCAGCTCGTGGGCCGGAACCAGACTTGGCTAGCCTTGCTGCGGTCTGACACCATGCCGCAGTTGATGTGGTTTAGGATTCAGGGTTTAGGGTTTAGGATTTAAAAAGATGCAAGAAGGATTTAGGGTTGAGGATTCAGGGTGGGCTTAGGGTTTAGGGCTTAGAATTTTGGAGTTAGTTTTTCAAAGAAAGGGCTTAGCATTCAGGGTTTAGGATTTAGGGTTTAGAGCAACTGCAAGCAGTATACTTATACTGCATAGCATCCTGGGGGGTTGGTAGGGACCCAGGGATTCCTACATAATCCCTGTACTTTTAGGCTTTAGGGTTTAGGGTTGTAATAAGATCCCCATATTCCCCATCAGTATCCTGTAGAGCTATCCCAGAATTTGTATGTGTGGTAGAGTTTTGCCGAGTAACAGCTGCGTTGCCCCAGCAAGAGGCCAGGGTAGCCGCTGGTGTTGCCCGACTCTCCTACGTCCAAGAGCTGCACGCCTTCGCGGGATTGGACGAGGACCAGGGCTGAGCCACATGCTAATAGTGTGGACGGTGCCATAATCAGAGTCACAAGGGTAGTAGTGATTACTAGAGCTTTGATCATGCAGCCGCTATGATTAGTGGGAGGGTTATGGGCAAAGTAATTGGAGGTGATGGTTGACACTTTATTTGACTGCCATATACCTCCAGTCACCTGTCTGGATGTTGACCTTAAGTATAGTACTGAGAAACACTTTCAAGGGGCCTCCACATGACAAAGAGAAGCTTGCCGGAGAGGAAAGCCAACTGCGACACTTCTGAACTGCTGATCATGATGATCTTGATGTGTTAAACCTAGTTGGCAGAGACAAGGTACATATATAGATATATGTGTGTATACACACACACACACACAAGACGCGAGCGTGCTTCGCACGTGCTTAGTGCTTGCATCAAGGCTATGCAACCGAGCACGGGGTAAAACATGCTTATCATGGTTATGAAAAGAGGTGCGGTCGCCCGAATTTGTTGACAAGCGCCATGACATCCAGATACCATCGATGAAGTGCTCGGTGGCATCCACCGAAGGTAGAGTCTATACACAACTATTAGGGTTGAGGGCGTGGCATTTCGGGAAGGTAGGAAGGCAGTAAGCCACGCACAGGGGAACGCTACGGTAGGACTTCAGTCTTGTCTGGGAGGATTGTCGGAATGTGGTGCGTGGGGGAATCTCGGCAGGTCTCAAGCACGGGGTACCCCCAAATCAGTTGCGCAGCCCCCCAAAAAAGCTTTCTCCAGCAAGGGGTACCTGAAAATCAGTCCTGGAACGGGCACCTTATGAAACTCTATCTAGCGGCGTGGGGGGGGGGGGTCTGGGTGTCTACAGACAAGTCAGGCATGTCAGGGAATCGTCCTGAAAGCCTCTGATAACTGTTGGGGATGTGGGGCCATCGTGATGATCGCTGCTCTCACACGAAGAAGAGCTCACAAAGACACGCTTTGTGTTTCGTCATTCAAGTCCGGCCGTCGGATCTGCATGGTGCTAAGCCCTTCACAAGAAACCTGTACATGGCCCTGTTGTAAGTCAGGCCGCAGGCTGCGTTTGGCCATCTGCACCTCTAGTGACCCTAGCGATTTCCGATGCCGAGTTGAACAAGCCTTCATTACATTTTTTTTGGTGTCGAAGCTGTGTACACGTGTAGTATTCCTGTCGTTCTTATTGCTATTACATAATGCGCTGATTATCACTAATTTACACTTCCCTACTATTACAGTGTTTGGCTAGCGAAAATCTCCGTACCTGGATCCTGGGACGGCCCAAGATGTGGTCAGGAGGAGAGTGCCCTGTGGGCACAGAACTTCACGGTCCAAGAATACCTGCAGGACGACGTGTTGCCTGGCCGCGTTTCAGAGCCAGCAAGTGGTACCTTGCAAAGAAGCTGATAATGAGAGAAGGGAGAGGGATTGAAAGTCAGGTCATCAGTTTTACGGATCGGGTGTTGGATCGGGCTCCATGTCGCTGCGACTCCAATTTGCTTGGTTACACAATGCCCGGTCCTGGCTGAACACAAGGTTGGTCAGACAGTCGAGCCCGGTCAACCAGCAGTGCTTCTTTGGAATACGAACTGGCACTTGCAAAGTCTTCCGCATCTCGGCACTCCAGGCTGGACCTTTGCACATGGTAGCTGCAGTGGTCGAAGTATTGGTCCCTCTGTATCGTTAACCCTTGCATATGTACGAATTCTTCACCATCAGGTAACGAGAGCTCATGAATCCTCACATCCTAAAGGAGACCACCACAGTCTCATATTGTAGCCTAATCCCTAGGGTGCCAGCCCAGTTTTAAGGCCTTTACGCAAAGGCTGCATGGCACATGCCTTTCTCTAGCCTTCAATATCAACAGCTGGCTCCATTCCCCCCCAGCTTTTAAAATTTGCCCCATGGCTATTAACCTTCCACTGCTCCAATGCGTAGTCCCTGGTAGTGTTTGGAATGCAGAATGGCACCATATGAGCTATAGTCTAAACTCCTGGTATCCCAACTGATAACCACTATAGTACCCTTATATATAATCCCACATAAACACCCCATCTAAGGAGTTTAGACAACAGATGTCAGATTGGACAGGCCCCGCTGTGATGCTTTCAATCTTGGCAGTGCTCCTAAAGGGGTTTCCCAAAATTAGGGCTACCTTTATGGGAGTCACTATAGTAAGGACTATAGTACATTGGGGTCCATCATATAGGGGTGCCTTAATTTTGGGAAATCACCTTAAACCCTAAATTGCCCAAAGCATTTGCAGGCCATGGCTCCAGAATAGAAACAGGACATTTTGAGGGGTAGTGTTGAAGCTTAAAATTGGGCACGGTATGGCACGGTCATTTAGCGCAGCGCCTACGGTGCCATAGGACCCTATGTAATCCTCAGTAGGGGTATCTTTTTTTTGAGAAACCTTGTATATATTCTTGTAATCCTTAACCCCCGCTTCTCTATTTTTTTGAGACCCAACCGCCCCCAAAATCAGCCCACATCGTTGTGATGTAAGGCAATGGCGCAGAAGTTGCGACGCTGGAAGCGGGCGATTGTTTCGGTGAGGCATGCCGTTTTCTTCTGACAGATCATGTTACGAATAGTCATCATCACCATGTTAATATAATGGGAGCAGGGAGGTGGCTACTGAGGAGGACCATATTGCGCTGCACCCATCTTTCAGATCAACAGGCAGGGGCTCATATGGGCAGTTGTCAAAATTATAGCTCCTTTTGGCTACCCTCCATGTTGGGGGCCATATTAGAGTTTGGGGCCCCAAAAAGGTAGCATGTGGAGGCTCCAAAAAGAGGAGTCTCTTCTGGTGATGCTTCTAGCATGAAATCTAGTCTATTGGCGGATATGCGGGAGTTGTACAGAGTTATACGGGCGTTTCCGCAAAGGCGGTTGCTCGTGGCTTTCTCCAAATACTACTCCGGCATTTTTTGGAAAGAAAACCATATCAGGTGTCCTCGTTTCGGAGAGCCCTAATGGAGAGCCCTAATCCTTGTGACAGCTCAAAGAATTGGGGCTTCCCAGGCTCAAATGAATTCAACAAATCGGTCATTGTCCAAATTGTTACCTTTTAGACTTTTAGGATAGCCTCTTAAGTAAGCCGGGGACTTTAGACCCCTACTGCCTAAGGTATGGATCGAATTGTAGTCATATGATAGTTTAAACCTGCTTAGAAAGAAAAGAACAAACACACTGCAGTTTCAGCCCGGGCCCTGTCCGGTTTTTTAATCCGGGCTCTTCGGGTACCACTCTCTTGAAGCCAGAGGACACCCTGTGGTTGGAGTTCCGATTCATAGAGTCCTAAACCCTAAAGCCTAAATAGTAATTTTCAGCCTCTTTTCCATTGTCCTTATTTACCCCTATATATCCGTATAGTATATATATCCCCATATACCTCTATAAATCCCTAGATATTCCTAGGCAGGGCATCCCTGGCCTGACCTACGCGCGCCTCCGCAAACATGTACGACCCTAAATATGAGGGTTTAGGGTTAAGGGTTTAGGTTTTTGTAGGTATCCGTACAAAATCCAAGGGGTCCATTTCAATGTTCATGTCTTGTTCCAACTTGCTATGCCCAAGACCTTCCAAGTTCCATTTTCTGTTCAGTTCGATTCTCCGTTCTTCCTTAACCCTAAACCTTAAACCCTATATGATATTCCTACAAACCCCCAGTTTCCATTTTCTTTTCCACTTGATTCCTCCTTGTTGGCTCTAAACCCTAAACCCTAAACTTGTTACCAGCACATCCCGAAGGCTTCCTTGGTCCTTGGGGTGCCAAGCCCAGTGACCGTCAAAGCCGACAGAAGCTTGTCGGATTAAGGGTTAGAGGCTAGAGGGGTTAGGGTTCAGGGTGTCTCAATGAGGGGGTGCGCTGGTGCTGGAAGCACCCAGGCGCGCACCCCGATTTGTACGAGCCCACCCCCGCTGGCGCTCCACCCTCGCCTCGACCTGTACGGGTTTAGGGTTCTCTCGAACTCTGATCGCGC